CTCGTGCCTTTCTAGTCGGCGACCTGGTTTTACGGAAAATTCAAACCACACGAGATCGGCACAAGTTATCTCCTCTATGGGAAGGGCCATTTATTATCTCTGAAGTTACCCGGCCAGGTTCATATCGACTCAAGCGCGAAGACGGCACTCTCGTCGACAACTCTTGGAACATTGAACATCTTCGTCGTTTCTACGCTTAACTTTATCACTGTATTTCCCTATTTTTGACTGTCAAACATCAAGTTTTTTCCTTGAAGTTGTCAGTCGGGGGCTATCATCATAATAATGGAGTGTGATTTTTTATCAATTCAGTTTGCTTACTTGGTTTATCATTGCCTTGTTTGGTTTTTCTACTTAGTTTGCGAGGACTGAAAGTTTTTAATAGCTTCTTTGGGTTTTAGGCTCAACAAAGCTTAGCAAAAACTTTTAAGAAATCAAAAACTTCGCAAGAATCATCAAGCACAGCATAAATACACCAGTATTGTACAAATTGAGCCTCCATGTATTACATTCAAACTCAGTCAGAATCAGTCCTTTCATCATCAGAGTCTTCATTACTCGGCTGGAGGTCGTTGTTGCGAAATTGCTCCACAACATCACTCGCAATTTTGTCAGCCGCATTTTGCGCACTGCTGATAAGATCAAGGGCAGCTTCTTCACTTGTCCCGTCTGCAAATCCATCAATGGTGTCGACTTCAATTCTCGGGTACAAGGATTTTGTCATCGCCAAGGCCATGCCAGCTCCCATACTTCCAGCTTTCTTGATATTCTTGAAATATACTTCCGGAGCAACACTCAGCTTGTCAAATATTTCGGTTGCGTCGAGTGCACTCGGACCACCATTATTGAGGAACATGGCTTGGATAATTGGTGCAGCGGCATTGGCGACGTCATCCCTTGCTCCTTCAAGCCTCTTGATCTTACCAACCAGGACGTCAAACTGAGCTTGAGATTTGATCTTGCGATCTGCAAAACACATTTATGATGAGCATCTGTTGCATTATAAGGAGAGAAGCTCAGATTGTTAGCTGGCGTTACCTTCGACTTCCTTCAAGGCTGAGTCCCTTTGCGCAGCCAGCTCTGTCTTGTCTCTCTCCAGGGCTTCAATTTGCTCCGCCATCTGTTCCACCCTGGCGGCTTGCGCTGTTTGAAATCCAGATGGTTGAGGATGCAATTATGACAGCATAAATCAATGGAATGGATCTGGATGATTACCTTTTGATGAACCACTTAGTTCGAAGTTTGCATCCTGGAGCTGGGCGATTCGGTCCCTTAACTCTTTCTCTGTCTTTTTGGCGCACTCCTTGGCCTCATGCAGCTGGTCCCTAACTGCTTCTAGGGTTCCCAAATGAGGAACCAGCTTTTCCAAAGTTGTAGTCTTGGCCTCATTGCGAAGATGGATTCTCTGCATGATGGATCGTGGTTCAGTTCTGCTAAAAAGAAAATAAAGTTACCGAAGGCCGTCACTCGGAAGACTTACATTTACAATACGAGTGGCTTCTCCGAGCGCTTTCTTCAGCTGGCACACTTCTTCATCTTCTTTTTGACGGTTTATGACTATGCCGGCGGCTTGTGAGTTCTCGTCCTACCATTTGATCAAGATAGGAGGACGAGAGTCGTCGGTCGCCTTTATGCGAGGGATTTCTTCTCCGTCATCACCTGACGGTCCTGATGTGTTTCCAAGTCATTAGACGGATACACTGAGGTTATTTAAATCGCCATTGTTTGAGAAGACAACTAACCTGAAGATGTACCTAGCTGAGCGTGAGGTGATCTTTGTTCTTTACCTGAAGACCCAGCTATCGAGTCATTACCAGCCTCTGGTCCTTGCGAAGTCGTCGTCTGCGCTTCTACTTCGGGGATCTCTTGATCAGGGCCTGCGTCCGACTGGTTTCCAGTCGGGGGCTCTTGAGTTGTTGCCGTTTCAGTTGTTGCCGACTGGTTTCCAGTCGGCGGCAGGTCACTCGGATCGGCCCTATCGCCCGAAGCATGGGCACCAGTCGGCTGGCTTTCAGTGGTCGGCTGGTTTTCAACAGTCGGCTCGGGGTCCTTGGATATATTTTGCTCTGTCATGCCAGGATCGGGGTCTTTTCCAGATGGATCTATATCAGATGGTTTCCTGCAGAGTGTTCTTTCAGTATTTAGCATTATCTTCATCGGAAAACATGCCGAAGCGGAAATCATACCGAGAGATCTAATACCTGGAAGATGTTCTGATCTTTGGCATTGCACGGCCAGCTAGTTTTTTCCTGGGCATGGTGCGCTTTGGGGGTTTATTAGGCGAGCCCTTATCCCCAGATTTATCATCGTCGCCTTCATCATCATCAAGTACCAGCTTTCTCTTGCGAGGACCTGTTTGACCAGTCAATTTGGAGGTCTGAGGTTGCGGATCTGGTCTGATCGTTGGCCCTCCACCTCCCTGAGCGGTGTGTTGGCGAGGAGACCGGCGCTGAGTGACTGGTGGATCTGACTTCATCAATGCATATTCCTGAACAAGATGCTTCCATAGTTAGTCAACTCAGCATGAAGATAAAATTATGTTCTGATCACAGTTTGAGGGTTTCTGATACATACCTGTGGAGGCGGATTGAATGCATTATATGGCACAACTGGCAGTTGATGAGAGTAGCTGACTACAATTGCATTTGAGAAGATTTTATACATCCTCTCCTTCATGATTTTGAAATCCAGGGAATCTGGTTCTTCACGGTTAGGATCATGTTTGCCGTCGAACTCGAATGCTGTGCGGGATCTTTCCTTGATTGGCGCCAGTCGGCATTTGATGAAGTGCCGAGTGATCTGCTCTCCCTGTAAGCCTTGTTCTTTAAGATTTAACATACGATCCAACAACTCCAAGGCTTGTACTGCTTCATCTCCGATTGGAAGAGAGTTCCAAGTATCTTGGTACACTGGAGGAAGACAAGAGTACCCGGGGAGAGCAGGCTCGGGATTCTGAACATAGAACCAGTTTGCATGCCATCCTTTGTTCGAAGTCTTGAAGGGCATCGAGAAATATTTTTGGCTCAGAGTTCCCCTTAGTTGGAATCCTGCCCCCCCGACTACACACGGTTTGTTCTTGTTTGGTTGGGGCTTGAGGAAGAAGATCCGGCGGAATAGGGCAAAGTGAGGTTTGATCCCCAAAAAGGCTTCACAAGCATGGACGAAATTGGCGATATGCACTATGGAATTCGGGTTTAGGTGATGCAAGCTGATTCCATAGAAATTCAAGATCCCGCGGAAAAATTTTGAGGTCGGAAGAGCAAAGCCGCCGTAGAAGAAATGCGAGAAGACCACAATCTCATGAGTATCCGGAGACGGGAAAGCCTCACCGTGCGCTGGTCGCCACCCGATGATCTCCTTGGCAGGGAGAACGCCGTGCGCCACCATCTCCTTAAGATCCTCCTCCGTTACGTCGGATGACGCCCATTGGCCTTCGAAGCTTTCTCTCTCTTCCGCCATCGGTTTCACTCAAATGTGCTGATTTGATTCGAGGGATGGCTTGGGAGAGGTGAGGGATTGAGGCGGTGGATCACGGGAAGGATTTTGATGCACTTTTCGGAGGTGGATTTGGCCGGAGTTGTGAACCCTAGTTCGCCGGCGCAGCTTTGCACTGTAGCAGGGAGTGGGGAAAATGGCGAGAGTTCCGGCGGGGAAGACGAAGCGTCGCTTGGATATCGGATTTTTCAGTTAAGGGTATCGGAGGTGCTAATGGGCCTAGGCCTGAACAGTACTTTAGCCCAATACTTTTAACAGCGTGGCCCATTGTGTTCCTTAGGGACTTAGGCATATTTTGCTTTGGCGATATTATGCACACAACAGTGTTGCCCAATGCTGATGAAATCCTTTTTATGCGGTCATATAATTCTTTGGAATTATTGCAATGCAAATTAAAAAGGTGCCCGACAGAAAGGCGTTATGCTGTTTTTGCGAGCTTTTTTAGGCTACAAAAGCTGTTTGGGTTAACTAGGAATGACTTGTTTTTATTATAGTCATCTCCTTGGCGTGTTATATGCCTGTTTTCATGGTAAATAGTCATGGCCTAGGCTATTCGACTTATTATTACCATGATCTTTATAATACTTGATGGGTAATCTTTAGAGTTTTTATATTCGGATGCCTGTCGAGTGTGTTCATTCGTGAACCTTTTAGAGTGTAAACCACTCGGATTTCTTTTATTGCGGCTAAAAAGCAGTCGGCTAGCATGCCTATTTAGGCGCCGCGTACGCTTTTGTCATATAATGCACAATTGTGTTATTATTTTGTCTTTCAACTATATGTTTAGTTTGTTAACTAATCACATAGTTGGGGGCTACACCTAATTAGGTGCATCTATTCGATGCACCATATTCTTTATCTTTTCGCCCTTTACAGTCCACTCGGCAGGTTTTGGCTTGAAGAGTTTGAAGTACTCGGATTATCATCTTTGGGAAGGCTACGATGGTCGACTGCAAAGGACTCGGGGGCTACTGTGGAGATTATGGGTATCCCATATCTACACGGCGACGGTATTCGAACTGGGTACAAGATACCTAATGTAGATAGAATATCTTATCTGTATCTCGGGTTTGTTTCTTAACTTGTGTATCAAGGAAACACCCTGAGACTTAGTCGGTTACGACTGTATTTTACCTCTATCTTCATATTCCGTTAGGAATATAGATTATCTTTTGTAATCCGGACTCCTTCCCGTATATAAGGGGGGTCCGGAGCGCCTCTAGGGGCAGATGTTGATTTTTCCCGAATCATACAATTAATAATACACTCGGCGGATTCATCCCCGGACAGGAGTAGGGTATTACTTCTTTTATAAGAAGGCCTGAACCTGTATAAATCTTTTGTCTCCAAACCCATACACTTTTCCAGCTTGATAGCCACCCCCTTTTATTATTGCCGAAATCTAGTTTCGACAAAGTTGCTGTTGAAACCATCGCCGCTTTTTCCTCCACGTTTGGCGCTGTTGACAGAAGAGCCGCTCGCCTGTTGCCGTAGCTTCGCCCTGCCTTCGAAGCTCAGATGTTGAGAGTAAATCTCGGCGACTGAAACAGCTTCCGCCTTGCCAACCAGATTGGAAACAACAGGCTCGTAGTCATCGTCGAGTCCGGCAAGAATATATGACATCATCTCTTCATCGTCAAGCAGTTTTCCGGCGTAGGACATCTCATCGGCGAGAGATTTCATCTTGGTGATATATTCTGTAACACTGAGGTCACCCTTGCGAGTTGTCGACAATGTGTTAACGACCAAATTTGGTAATATCAGTATCGGAGATAAAGATGGGATCGAAGCGGAATCGAAGATGAGGATTGTTGCAGAAATAGAGTAAGGATCGGTTGGAGTCCGGATCGGCTACGACTGGGATCGGCTAAGTCTGAGTTGGACTGGTTAAGTGATACAACCGATTCCGACAATACGACCCGTGTGCGACATTGGGTTCGAGTTGATGTGCTTCAAGATGATTGCCACACAAGGATAGAGTCCTGGGAAGGCAATTATATCTATTAATTAGGATATTTTATGTAAATTCCTTAGAGATAAATGTGGGCAAAAGTCTGCCGCAAAGACTTATGGTATCTTAGAGTTTGTTAGAGATAAGAGTCGTGTCCAATATGGATATATCTTGTAATTCTCGGGTATAAATAGTCCCCGAGCCCAATGTAATGAGGAACACACACACGTTCAATACAATTTCGGCGCATCGCCACCCTTTTTGCTTTAGTTTTATTTCGACGAGTTCTTGCTTTCGGGTTGAGCTGCATCGGTTTCGATCTTCAACAAGAGGTAAAACCTGTAAAACCTGCATCGGTTCTCGAGATTAGTGCTTCTATCTTTATGATACTCTAATCTTGTTTATGTAATCCGTCAAGTTATCATATATCTTACATAATCTTTGACAATATCGTCATCTAACCTACAATCAGCTAACATCTGCTAGCAGAAGACAGCCGATTAGGTTAAATAATGATGTTGGCTTAGATTATATGAGATATCCACCACTCTATAAAACATCCAGCGGCTTGATTGTCTAGATATTGTCCTTCTTTTCATACTTAATGCTGTATCAGTTGAGTTTGATCTATTAAGTCGTGTTTAGAATTTCAATCTCTAGCCTGCCTACTGGTTGCCGATTAGGGTAGTATCGGAGTTTCAGCCGATCTTATCTGATCTAGTTGCTCTTGCTCTATATGCTCAATTAATATGTTAGATCTGCCCTTCATGTTAAGATCTTGTGGCATTTAAGTATATTAGATCTCTGTTTAGTATATTTTATTTGCTTTAATATCTTAATATAAAGTAGTATCGGAGAATTAGCCGATACATGATAGATCTATTTGATCGGCTATGCTATGAATATGTATAATCTCATTATTAATATATATTTCAATCTAAGTGATTTATACTGTCTCGGCAAGGTGACCGATCTATCCTAATCACTTGATTTAAGTATATGTCAATATACGGATTATATATCATTGATATCTACAGCCGATCGAGCAGATTTAGTTCCGTCTTGTTTCCTTAACAATTGCCGATCGATTCACATATGACATCGGTTCAAAGATAAATGATATGTCATCGGCATCTAGCCGATCGGCTATCATTTATGGATTTAATCATGGTTTATTTATCTTTGTTTCTTGTTGATTGTAGGATCAAATCAACTGGCACGCTCGTACATCCGAAGGTGAGTTTTGGACCTGCATTGGAGTTAAGCAGATCTCCCAGGCCTCGTGTTTTCCATCAACACGCTTTTGGCACGCCCGGTGGGGCTGATTAGAAGTCAGAAGAACAGCTTCCTTCATGGCTGAGAAACCACCACTGTCTCCGTCGTCGGCCAGCCCGGGTAGTGGTAAGGAAAAGACCCAGAAATTCGGTCTGATTGACGTCCATGAAGGAAACGTTGTACCCATCGATCCGGAGAAGTTCACTCATGAACAGAAGAAATACTTCAATGCAATGATGCAGCAAGCACGAGATCAATTTTTAAGTTCATTCATGCAAACTCGCAAGGGCACATTTTTTCAGAAGTACAAGTTGAAGGTGGTTCCTGAGGATTTTGGGATCGGTTCATCTAAAGAGGGAGAAAAGAAACAAATTCCAGACGGATCAGCCCAGCCGAGTAACAAAGGTGCTACTAATGGCTCTCCAGGAGATCAAGGCGACGACCCTCAAGGGGACCATGGGGTTCAAGGTGACGGCACTCAGGGACCGCAAGGGGGAAATCTTAATCAGAATGACAATGCATTCCAAGATTTTTTCAATAACTTTCAAGATCGAGTTGACTATGCTGTGTATTGTGCTTTGATTAATCAATCTGGAGTGTTGACTAATACCTTGTCAAATATGATGAAATCGGTAGCCGATGGCTCAATAGCTGAACATCAAGCTGCAGGCCCAGCTTACTTGCAAGGGGGTACTTTTCCAAATTATCGAACTTTGATCACCGATGTTCATCCACTTACTCAGGGAGTTCCTCCTGTTGCATCATCAGCTCAGCCAACGGCGCCAGCATCAGCTCCAGCACCTGCAGCGCCGTCGTCGGCTCCAGGCCAATTAATCAATCCTCAATTATTGGTAAGAGAGCAATCACAGTATCCTGGACCGAATGTGATTCAGCTAACACAAGACCAGGTTGCATCTATGTTTCTACCTCCTCAGAATGCTATTAATTCGGCTCAGCAGCAGCCGATTCAGCAAACACCGTCTAGGCAACAGGTTGTGCAGCCTATTCAACAAGCATCCCCAATTCAGCAGGCCGTGCAACCAGTTCAGCAGACGCCACCAAAGCAACCGGCTTTACAGCCGATTCAACAGACACCGTTGAGACAGCAGGTCATTCAGCCGATTCAGTAGCAAGCCTCAATGAACGCATCGGCTGGGTTTGCAATGCCTGGTGTCCAGCCTGTGCAGTACACTGCAAATCAGGCGGTCCCGGAACACTTGGTTCATCATATGCAACCGGATGGTTCGGTGGTGGCTCAAGTTATTCCTGAGCATTTGGCGCGTGGTATTCAGCCGAACCTTCACAATTGCCAAGGGGGCAATTTGAGTTATCAATATCAGCCTCCATCACCCCAAGTTCAGTACCAACAGACAGGATCGGTGCCGCCTCAATTCTACAACCAGTTTGAGCCTATACCACAACAAACACCTCAGCAGCGACCATGGGCCGACGTGATAGCTGATGTAATGAGGGAGCAATTTGGGCTTAAACCAAAAGAGACTGGGAATTTGTATCGACAACCTTATCCTGAATGGTTTGAAAGAGTTCCTTTACCTAACCGGTTTAAAGTACCAGACTTCTCAAAGTTCTCAGGACAGAATACTACATCAACCTATGAGCACATCAGCCGATTCTTAGCTCAGTGTGGTGAGGCATCGGCTGTAGATGCTTTGAGGGTTAGGTTATTCCGGTTGTCATTAGCTGGGTCGGCTTTTACTTGGTTTTCTTCTCTGCCACATGGGTCGATTAACAGTTGGGCCGATTTAGAGAAGCAGTTTCACAGTTATTTCTATAGTGGGGTTCATGAGATGAAGCTGTCTGATCTCACGTCAATCAAGCAAAAGCATGATGAGCTGGTGCATGAGTATATTCAAAGGTTCAGGGAAATGAGGAATAAATGTTACAGCTTGAGTTTGACTGATGCCCAGCTAGCCGATTTGGCTTTTCAAGGGTTGATTTCTCCGATCAGGGAAAAATTCTCATCTGAAGATTTCGAAAGCTTGTTACATCTTACACAGAAGGTGGCTTTGCATGAACAAAGGTTCACGGATGCTAGGAAGAACTCTAGGAAGATTAATCATGTCTATCCTTATATGTATGGATCGGATGATGAGGATGATGATTCCAAAATAGCTGCAGCCGAGTGGGTCAGGAATAAAAAGGTTATACCATGCCAATGGGTGAAGGGCTCAGGAAAAGAGGAAAGGTATGACTTTGACATAACCAAGGCTGATAAGATATTTGATTTGCTACTTCAAGAAAAACAGATTCAATTTCCTACCGGACATACAATCCCATCGGCTGAAGAGTTGGGCAAGAAGAGGTATTGTAAGTGGCATAATTCTGGGTCTCATACGACTAATGACTGCAAGGTCTTCAGGCAGCAAATCCAAATGGCTATTGAGGGAGGAAAAATCAAGTTTGATGATTCGAAGAAACCAATGAAGGTCGATGGTAATCCTTTTCCTATTAATATGGTACATACAGCTGATAGGGTCCGTGCAAAGGGTTTTCAAGTGAATTCGGCTAAGATGATCAACAAATATCAGAGGAAGTATGACAAGCAGCAGGAGAAGCATTATGAAGAACACGATGATGGTTTTGATCCTCATTGGGGTTGTGAGTTCTTTAGATTCTGCTGGAATGAAGGGATGAGGTTACCGTCCATCGAAAACTGCCCTGGGTGCAATGGTATCATTGAGAGCTCAAGCCAGTCATATAATGGGAATAATCGGCTAAGGCAGGAAAGAGTGTCTGTTCATCAAAGATTGGGCCTAGTGAATCAAGGTCGCGGTCAGAAGGATGAGGTAGTTAGGACAAATCAATGGTGTCCTTCTGGTATTTTCACAAAGAACCAGAAGAGAAGGGTTCAAAGGTTGAGAAACAGGGAGCAGCTTCAAGAAGTTGAATAGGAAATTAACCATCGGCTAAAGAAAGCAAAGCCAAGACAGGAATGGCGTGTTAAGAGCTAGGTTCCTGTAGCCGATGATGTTGCAGTCGAAGAGGCAAAAAGGTTGGCAAAAGGGAAGAGTGTTGTAACAGCACCAGTTAACATGGTCTTTACATTGCCAGCCGAATTCGGGATTGATCAAGCCGATGTAGATGAGATAGAAGAGGAATCGGCTAAGTTGGTTTTGTCACCGGAGCGAGCAATGTTCGAGAAGCCTGAGGGGATAGAGAATCGGCATCTTAAACCATTGTATATAAACGGTTATGTCAATGGGAAGCCGATGTCTAAGATGATGGTCGATGGTGGGGCTGCAGTAAACTTGATGCCTTATGCTACATTCAGGGAATTGGGTAGGAACGCCGAAGACCTCATCAAGACGAACATGGTGCTTAAAGACTTTGGTGGTAATCCATCAGAAACCAAAGGGGTTTTGAACGTGGAACTGACAGTCGACAGTAAAACGATCCC